CGCTTTGCGAACACACACACAGACAGCCTCTCGACAATATGCGTTTTTGCTGGCTGTAGCAGCGCAGGAACATATAGCAGCGCAGGAACGCTATAGCGCTGCACAGCAAAAACGCATAATTAGTAACTTGGAAAGTGGGAATGAAGTAGGAAGGGACTGCCTACCTGTGCACCGCAAAAATTACCATTGTATTAACGATGATCAAAATCGTGAATGGTATCGCGAACATAATCAGTGTATATGCCCATTCATAAAATATTTTACGATAAAGAACATTCATGCGCAGCTCGGTGGCCACAAGGATCGGCAACTCCATGTTGATTTGCGGCATATAGCATACATTTTCAATGCGCACCTAGAACACATCAGTTTGCTCAAATTTAATTTTTTGCAAAAAACAGTAAACAACATAAAGCGGAACAGCATGCAGATTTGTCAAATCCCGCATTTTTTGCTGCAGTTTGCTGCTGTCGTGCAACTGCTTGACCGAATGCACAAGAACAGTACCCAGTTGTATGCTTACAGCTTATTCACCAGCTATAGGCATATTCTCCAGCCATGTCCTTAAAGATGTCCGGGCTGGGTTGCGCATACTCTGATGACAAAATTTTGAATTTTCCTTCCCAACGTTTGTTCTTCCAATTAACAATCAGTCTTATCCCAAATTTCGGTCAGTCGTGTTACTATTTTTCATCAGTCTGCTGCTTTTCAGTTTCATAGCTCGCTCGTCGCGATATCACAAGAATGACATACGAACTGCATTAAAAATTAGTAAGTAGATACGGGGTCATTAGAAACAAAAGAATTATAATACAGTGTAATACGAGGTTTTCCGCAACTCCAGAATGAGATTGTCGGGAAAAATAGATATGTAAGCACAAAATGGATATGTAAGCGCATTGTTTCTTTTTTTGGCCCACAAAAAGCAAGTGTAACCTCAAGAAACCGTGTTGAATTGAAAAGTATCGAAGCAGCAATAACGACGCAAATTGATAAAATGACGTTACGAGTGGTGAGCAAAGATCGTGCTTTGAATGGTACACATACTCCAACAAAACGATGAACTGACATAACAGTGGTCATCCAGACACTGACCGTCTGCGCCAGTGTCATAAATGCGTATACATAAGGTGTGCTGTAGTAACTGAAATAGCAGGAACATCCCCTGAATAAAAATGCTTCTATCATGAGCGGTGCTTAACTGTTTGAAGCACTCATTACATTTTACATCGTGAGTCATTCCAGCCTGCTTGTCACCACATAACCTGGCAGTAAAAAGCTACTGAGGGCGAAACTGGACGGTGCAAGAAGGTCACAAAACGTCGGGGGAAAACGTACACGCAGGCACCGGGCTAGCTTTGGATTAAAGATAAGGAAATTGCAGGACTCACCTAATTGCGGTAGCTTTCCAGCAGTGCAAAACTTCGCCTAATCGAGGAAGTGTCAAAACAAAAAAAGCGCCAATAAGAATAACTGAATCTGAGATAGCCAGCAACAGCAAGTACCAGTTAAGCGGCTGATTACGCATTTGTCGATGTGAAAAAATCCGGACAGACATTGCATTTGCCAACAAGCCCATGCCAATGAACGGAAG